AACACCGAGGCCCGCTGTCGAGCCAGACGATCCAAGCCTGGTGCCCCCGTTTTTTTAACCCCCAGCCTTGCCAAAATTAAACGGGGTTGCCCGCGGGCAAGCCAAATAAACCAAAGCCTGGTGACCCATGCCCCCCCTGTAAAATACCTGGGTGACCCATCCCCGCTGCCCCACCAGAAAGGGGTCCAATGGACCCTTTGGCCCCGGTCTTCCGTTGACTCGGAGCCCATTTGCCCTTGGGCCCAGAATGACGCGGGGGCCCGCTTTTCCGGACCCCAAATGCCCTTTATGCCTGGTGCCCCTTTGCCCCGTTCCAAGCCAGACAAACCCAATTCTCCCCATGCCCGGGGTCTTCCATTTTGATTTGGGAACCCATTTTCCCTTTGGGCCTTTTACGCGGTCCCCGGGCTGCCCAAGCCAAATGCCCTGATCCGGGTGACCCGATGCCCCTTCCCAACCCCAAGCCCCATAAAATTTGTCTGACCCCAGTGCCTGCGGTCATACCAGTTAAAGGGGGAGCCCACTCCCCTTGCCAGATGAACCGGTGCCCGGGGTCGAGCCAAAAAACCGGGATGCCGGGGTGACCCAAATGGCCCGCTGTCCGGTATGGAACGACCCTTTTTAAACCATCCCCGCGGTCAAAACCAGTTGACTCGGGACCCACTGCCTTGCCAGAGCCCGGGACCCCGGGCTTTGGGAGCCAAAGGGGCCCTGATCCCGGGGACCCGAGCCCCCGGTCCACCAGCCCTTTCCAATGTCTGCCCCATTGCCGCGGTAAAGCCAAGTTTAAAAATCGGGCCCCAAACCGCCCGTGCCCTGGGACCGGTGCCCCGCCGTTTCCCCCTGGGGGCCCGAAACCTGGTTTTCCCCGGGGGGGTCCAGCGCCCCCGATCCACCTGGGGTCCGGGCGCCCGGGCCCCCTGGGGGGCCGGCCCCGGAGGGAGGGGGGGGGGGGTTGGGCGGGAACCTGGGGGTCGGCCTGCCCCCCCCCCGGGTGGGGCCCGAGACCTGTCGCTCCACCGGGGGGTCCGGCGCCCGAACGCTCCGCCTTGATGGGCCGACTGACCTGTCCGCATGCCCGCCTGGGGGCCCGATGACCTGTCGCTCCAACCTGGTGGGCCCTCTGCTCCCGCCCCCCCCCCTAGCCCCCGAGCCTTCGCTGCCACCACTCCGGGGTCCGGGCGCCCCCCCCTCCGACTGAGGGCCCGATGCCTGTCCCCCCCGCCTGGGGGATCCCGATGCCCCCCCTCGCCCCGCCTGGGGGCCCGATGCCTGTCGCCCGCCTGGGGGGCACCGATGCCCTGTCGCCCCGCCTGGGGGTCCGAGACCTGTCGCTCCACCCGGGGGTCCGGCGCCCGCCCGCCTCCGCCTGAGGGCCCGAGACCTGTCGCTCCACCCCGGGTGGTCCGGCGCCCGCCGCCATCCGCCTGAGGGCCCGAGACCTGTAGTTCCGCCTGGGGGTCCGGCGCCCGCCGCTCCGCCTGGGGCCCGATGCCCTGTCGCCCACGCCTGGGGGCCCGATGCCTGTCGCCCCGCCTGGGGGCCCGATGCCTGTCGCCCCCAAACCGCCTGGGGGCCCGAATGCCTGTCGCCCCGCCTGGGGGTCCGATGCCTGTCGCCCCGCCTGGGGGCCTGAGGCCTGTCGCTCCATCTGGGGGTCCGGCACCCGCCGCTCCCGCCCGCCGCGAGGGCCCGAGACCTTGTAGTTCCGCCCTGGGGCCCGATGCCTGTCGCCCCGCCCGGGGGGGCCCGATGCCCTGTCGCCCCCGCCCGGGGGCCCGGTGCCTGTCGCCCCGCCCCGGGGGCCCGGTGCCTGCCGCTCCGCCCGGGGGCCCGGTGCCTGCCGCTCCGCCCGGGGGGCCCGCTGCCTGCCGCTCTCGCCCGTAGCCCGATGTGCCTCTGCCCGGGGTCCTGCCCGATGTGCCTCTTCTGCCCGGAGTCCTGCCCGATGTGCCTCTGCCCGGAGTCCAGCCCGATGTGCCTCTGCCCGGAGTCCAGCCCGATGTGCCTCTGCCCGGAGTCCAGCCCGAATGTGCCTCTGCCCGGAGTCCAGCCCGATGTGCCTCTGCCCGGAGTCCCAGCCCGATGTGCCTCTGCCCGGAGTCCAGCCCGATGTGCCTCTGCCCGAGTCCAGCCCGATGTGCCTCTGCCGGAGTCCAGCCCGATGTGCCTCTGCCCGGAGTCCAGCCCGATGTGCCTCTGCCCGGAGTCCTGCCCGATGTGCCTCTGCCCGGAGTCCCAGCCCGATGTGCCTCTGCCCAGGAGGTCCAGCCCGATGTGCCTCTGCCCGGAGAGTCCAGCCCGATGTGCCTCTGCCCGGAGTCCAGCCCGATGTGCCTCTGCCCGGAGTCCAGCCCGATGTGCCTCTGCCCGTGTACCGCTGCCCGGAGTCCTGCCCGGTGTGCCAGTCTTTGATATCCCGCCAGTTACCAGACCCGGCGGGTGGAAACATTTTTCCCAGCTAGGACTGTTTTGGAGCGTCCCTGAGGCCGCTCCTTGAGGGGGGGGTGGTATACTGTCAGGAATGGACTGGCCAGCAATGGTGGGACTCACCTGCCTTTTGATCTGCAGTACCAGGGCTGGCCAGCGGTGCTCCCAGCAATCAGAGACTCAACCTTTCAGCCAGCTAACACCTGGAACTGATGATACTGGTGTATTTAAGGGATGGCCAGGACTTGCAGTGACTTACTCTGCCTTGGTGTTGTGTTTTGTCCTGGGCCCTGTATCTGTCCATGCATCCTGTTTCTGTTCCTTTGCTACCTGTTCTGATCCCTGGCTTGTGACCCTGACCATCCCTCTGCCTGACCCTCTTGTACTACGCTGCTTGCTACCTGCTGAACCTGGCCTGTGTGACCCCGACCATTCTCCGCTTGCTCCCCCTGTACCTACCTGCCCAATTGATATTGACTCGGCCTGCCTGACGACGCTTGCTTGTATGTACTGTTATCTGTGGGTGTGTTGGTTGGGTTTGTTTGCACTGTATTATGTTTAGTATTGCACTGCGTTTATGTTTGTATTGTTAGTGTTAAATAAATTACATTGTTAATCACATATCTGAAGTCTGCGTTTTCCCTGCTTCAGTCACACACCTCTGGTCATACCTGGGAGCCCCTGACACCTCCTCATTTCTCGGGTCCCCTGCAAGCGCTCCTGGCCCCACCCTCCCTCCTGTTAGGTGCCCTCACAGCAAGCAGCTTGCTATGGGGCACTCGCTGCTCCATGTGTCCATTGACACACAGAGCCGTGGCTCGGCCCCGCCCAGTCTCTCTTCTCATTAGCTCACTGGCTGTGATTGACAACAGTAGGAGCCATGGCCCCTGCTTCTGTATCAGCCAATGAGAACAGGAAGTCCTGGGATAGCTGAGACTCCAGTGCACATCACTGGATCGAGAGTCGGGGTGCTTAGGTGAGTATTTATAGGGGGCTGGGGGACGCATGCATAGAATGCATGAAGGTAAAAAACCTGAGCCTTTAGAATCACTTTAAAAAATCATAACTCAGCCATACAGCTTGAATTAAATCAACTTATTATACAGGTACTGTCCCCAAGAAATTATGGGTCAAAGACCACATAAAAGTAGCAAGGGGGAGGGGGGCGACAAAGAAAAAAGGAGGGAGGGTGAGACGGTCTGCTCTTCTTGTAGTCCAGCGCCGGACTGAATGATAATACGCAGTAAATATGTTTTTTGTTTTCTACAGGTACAGCATGGAATCAGCCAATTACAGGTAAGTAATGTAGATTACTATTCACTGTCCAATTAACAATCATTTTTTCTAAGGGTCTTCAACGATCCTATAGGTGGGCTTTGTGGGCAAATTTTTGCCCTACCCACTTCCATTTTTTTTTATTTTTGTCAAAAGGTGAACTTATCCTTTCAAGTGCTATAGGACAATACAATTACCTCCAAAATGACCCCTCTTTTAGAAAGTAGACAGTCTGCGGTATTTAGTAAAAGGCATGGTGAATTTTTTTTTAAGTTGTACATTTTTTTTTGTCCGCCAATTTTTTGGAAAATGAAGAAATTAAATACATTTTTTTTCACAATTTTTTTTGTTACATACTGTCACCTGTGCAGTGCCATCATATGGTGGGACAATGATCAGGGATGCTGACTGGTGACAGAATTTTAAAAATAAAAATTAAATAATTTATCATTCTATTTTTAAACTTTATTTTTAATAATTTTTTTTTTACATTTTTTGTCATCATAGTGACACTGTAACTACTCTAGGGGGCATGACCAGAGTTCATTTTTTACACTTTGATGATCACTGTAACTGCAATGTTTTGAACTGTAATGAACAGGCGTTTATATTCATAACAGCTGTGATTATTATTGTGTGCTGTGATTGGCCTACAGCTATCACATGGTACTGTCATGAGCTGTCATTGGCCCAGGTACCATTACTATAGGATTTACAGCTGTTATGAAGGAAATTCATTCATGACAGCTTGTTGACATTGTAATCATGTGATCTCAATGCAGCAATGATCTCTAAGATCTCTAAGCAGCAATGTGCTGTGTCCAGTGGACACAATGGTCAAGGAATGGGTGCGCTGCGCGCCCCTTGACTTGATGACATACATGTAGATGAGCCAGGCTACCTGTTCCTTCTGAGGTGGTAGTGGTGCTCATCGGTCCCCCTGAGGGGGTTTTCTTCCCACATATTTTCCGGCAATATAGCATCTCTGTGCAGGTCCCCTATATGCCTACCTCCAACTTTTGAACTTCAGAATGAGGGACACTTAATGGAGGAAGTGACCTGCAGCATGCATAGCGTGCCATGGCAAAAATGGGTGTGGCCAATTGCTTAACAGTGGAGATGGCCTAAGGGGCATGGTTAAGCAAAACACAAATAATGACTGGTACTGATAGCAAGATGGCGGCTGCACCGCTCCGGAAATGACATCACCACGCTTTCCGTCCTATGCATTACATCACGAATCATGTGACTTTCAGATGGCCTGAGGAAGTCACATGATTCATGACGTAATGCATAGGACGGAAGCGTGGTGACGTCATTTCCAGTGCGGACAGCAGCAGCAATCTTGCCATGCCCATTTGTGATACACCTATCTTTGCCTATTTTACATACAAGCCTGCATGGGTCTGTGGACTCATTTTTTTTAGGTGAGTAAGCACTCTGCATTTTACATTTAATACATTTGTGAAACATACTGCACTATGGGAAATCCTTTGTGATTTATTTTTCCATGTGTGGCCCATGGGAGAGGAGTTTTTAAAATATACCTTTGCAGGGGACATCTGAGTTATTAAAAGGCTGGTTTGGAGTGTGCATTACCTTTGCCAAAAAGGGTTTGCCCTGAAAAAGTATCGAGGGATATACAAGGATATCATTGCTGAGCATATTCAGTTAAAGTCTGCATGACCTGTGATGGGTCATAGCTGGAGGTTCGAGCGTGCACGCTAGCTGGTGGAAGATTTGTTGCAGTGCTCACTGGTTGATTCACAGTCCTGTTGAAGATTCTTACACTGATTGGGACTTTGCACTTTGTTGTTTTTATTCACAATGTATCTGTTTCTATTTGTTCACATTATATATATTTATTCATAATGTTCTGTTCATTTATAATTATTGGTCACTATATTTTAGGTCACTGCATTTAGCTATGAATAAGTTATCTATATTTTTTTCAAATGTTTTGTGTGATATTCAGCTTTGAGTGTATATTTACTTTACGGGGTTATATTATATTTGTTGATGTGATTTTGAGTAGTGCAGCGCCAATTATCATTATTTTGTTTTTTGACGCTGTTTGGATCATGGTTAGGTGCTTGCTGCAGCACTGACCGAGTGCAGGAGGATTTCCTATCCAATGTAAACAAAACATAGGCTTCCTTCTACCTATAAAATATGCTTTGATTGCTGTGCCACAAGCAGGCGTCTCATGGACACAAATCCCAGCACAATCATTTAGAAAGAAAAAGAATAAAAAGCTTCCATTACAAATGGTTTTGCACAAAACTGTGGAAGAGTGTGTTACACAAAGGAATGCATTATGTACAGAGTGCAAGCTTCAGGTGTGCGTTATGTACAGAGTGCAAGCTTCAGGTGTGCGTTATGTACAGAGTGCAAGCTTCAGGTGTGCGTTATGTACAGAGATCCAAGTTTCAGGTGGGAGTGCGTTATGTACAGATGTGGCAGGCTTCAGGTGTGCGTTATGTACAGCAGTGCAGGATTCAGGGATGCGTTATGTACAGAGTGCAAGCTTCAGGTGGTGCGTTTATGTACAAGAGTGCAAGCTTCAGGTTGTGGCTTA